TCTTTGGCCCCATAATCTTCTTGATCCCCTTTCTTCTTTTTTAAAAATTTTTTATTAATTAATTTGGTACAAGGTCTTGCTATATGCAGCTCAGACTCATAGTGATCCTCCTGTCTCAGCCTCTCCAGCACTCAGATTACAAGTGTGTGCCACCATGCCCAGTTTTGGTGGCTGACTCGGAGCAGGGCATGCATGGCATGAAGAGACAAGGATCAAACCTGGGTCCTTGAACTTGCCAGGCAGGCACTTAGAGTGCTGAGCTATCTCCCCAGCCCTAGTACCCTTTCTTGAAGAGCCCCTTTGCAAACAAGAAGTCTCACCTAATTACGTAAAGCTCAGTGTAAGTTTTACCACATACCACCCTGGCAACCCCCGAGAGAGACCACCATACCTCACGCCCATCAGCGAAAGCAGCAACACATGGAAATGAGTAGACCCTGCAAAACACTTCACAATTAGCAAATAAGAACAGACCCCAATTACAATCTGCACATGTTTTGCAAAAAAAAAAACACTTGTAACTAGAGTGCACCATTATGTCTCATACAGGGCATGATAGGGTACTTGAAGCTTGCAAGTGGAGATGATCTCGGAGGCGATTTCAAATCGCCAGCTGGTGATCTATAAGCCAGGCTTCCTGATATTCTTTCTCAACCAAAGTACTTGGCAAGATTTCTAAGGAAAGGAGTAAATGTGGCAAATACTGCTTCACCAAGAATTCAACTCTCTGTAAGTCCATCATGTGCATATCCCCAGGGACCTCAACTCTGTACAAAATTTCTCTTTATAAAGTCTGGATTGTCTAAAGGATGTAGTATGACCAATAACCCAAATTGCCAACAAATATGACAACAGTTAGAAACAATTTGTAAGCACATTCAAATGAGCAACCAGGCAGGCAGGGTCTGATATTCTCATGTTTCCAATCGGTGAACCACTTAGCTGTACTCAGTAAAAGATGGATCCTACATTCTTTCCTAAAATGAGACCAATCCTAAGCATTCCTTTAAAATATTAGACATTTCCAGAATATTCCTAGTACATAAAATAATGGCCAGAGAGACATCCTACCTTCTTTGGTCACCAAGTCTGTCATTTAGGTGATTGAGAAACCTTCGACTGTCCTTCAAAATAATGCAAACTTTTTATTAGAAAAAAGAAACCAAAGTATCCTATATCCTATGTAAGACTACCTTAAACAGCACATAGAGGCCAATGTTTTCTTCTACATGTCCAGGATCTGGTAACATCATGAAGTTTCACAAAGACTCATTGTTTATGTTAACAGTATCTTAGGCTACAAGCAAAAGGCTCCAGATACATGTTTCCAGAAGGAACCACCTCCAACCCCAGCATTAGATTTTCATCTGAAGAATACTGAGATCCACAAGTCAGATGCATGACTGTTTCATTGGGTCAGAAATAGAAGAAAAGCACACCTGATGACCAGGACTACACTACAGCACTAACCTGACAGGCATGCGCCTCTGTCACGCCTGAGCAGCACAAGCCAACCGCAGGCCCCTAAGACATGTCAACAGCGGCTGGGCCTGGATGGCTTTCCCACTGCTGCTTCCTTTTCAGGAGTTCTTCACGCCTCTCCTTCCTGGGTTCTCTCTCTCTCCGCATATGTGCTAAGAACAAAACCCACTGTCCCGGATCTCCTAACCAACGGCCTTCAGGGTGGTGAATTAGTTGCCACCAACATTCTCAAGGCCAAGAGACCCAGGTCCAGACATCTGCTCCTTTTTGTTTGTTTGCAAGGCGTGGCTGTTGTGGCCAAATGCTCCTCCCACTCTGTCTAAATTCCACACTCAGTAGACAGCAGCAGTGTAAGTCTTTCATCTAAAAGTCTTTCAGTTAACAAGCTAACGTCTCGAGGGGGCAAATGATTTTGGAAACCAGACAGTTCACCAAAATTCCCTGCAGATGTGTGAGAATGATGCAGAGGAGAGGGGAAGTGACATCCAAGTGCTCCAACATCCCAGGCTCTGTCAGTTTCTTTCACTGAAAATTCACAATTTTACTCCCATTTTACAGATGGGGACACTCAGGCTTCACAAATCAACCACTTTGCCAAAATGCATGGAAGTCAGGGAGGTGGGACTCAAACCCAAGTCTGAGAGGACCCCAAAGCTCATGATCTTGCCATGAAGTAGATCTGGATAAATCCTATCCAGTCCTCCCCTCCCCCGACCCCCTTCTCCTTCTTCCTCCCCCCCCATTTCAAATTTAGTACAGTCTGAATCACTGGTAGTTTTATTATCAATATGAGCAGTATTATGAATGTTGCCTTTTCCTAACCCTCATTTTATGAACTATTTTTTCTCTTTATTTTTATTTTTTATTTTTGTTTTTTGTTTTTGTTGTTTTTTACTCTTAAGGCATTTATTTATTTATTAACACGTTCTCTGCCAAGATTTCACATTAGGTTAAAATTCAATTCAGTCTTTTTACATTTCTCTGCTGAGGCTGGCATCTCAGTGCATTACAGAAAAAAACACCTTCTCCAGCAATCAGCGTGACCAGCATCTGCATAGTAAGCCCCACAGTCAGCCTCTATGTTCCCCAGATGAAGCACCTACATGTTAATACTGCTCTACTACAAGGTAAAAGCTCCTAACTCAAATTTATTGGAAAAGGAGTGAAAATTCTGCAAAGTGCACTTTTAAAAAGAGGTACTTTTTGCATTTGAAAAGAAACCAGTGAATCCTCTAAGAATAGTAAAAGGGAGTATTTTACAGTTAAGCACATGATTTGGAGAGAAGAATTCCGACGCTGCTCTGCTGGTCAATGGTGTTGATACTCTTCTTGCTCCTCCTGTGGGCCCCCTTCATCAGGTATCACAAAGCCTTCGTCTGTGGCATAGAGAATGTCTACAATCCTCTGCAATACACGGTCATTTTCCCCTTCATTCTCCTGGCAAATCAATTCAATGTTCCTTAGCTTCCCAAAGTAGAAATCTCTTTCTTTCTCCAAGTCTTCAACAGTAAGTTTTAATACATTGACCTGCTGCGTCAGTTCAGCGGCCTCATCGGCCCCATTGCCCACACCAGGATTCTTCCGCACCACCCCTGGACCAGCCTCAGCCGTTGAAGTAGTTCTCTGGGTTGAAATGGATCTCTGTGGAGCTGCACTGCTTGAGCCGAGAGGTTTCTTCGGTTTATTCAGAGCTGGAACAACAAGAGAAGGAGCCACTGCGGTCTCCTGACCTTGTCTGGCAGATACAGGGTCATACTCTTTTCCATCATAGTTTGCATCAAAAAATTTCTTGAACCACTGAACAAATTCAAAATTGTCCTGAAACTTTCCTTTTATTAATTTATCCACAGGGATTATCTGAGCACAACTGTTCAATCTTCGTCAGATTCAACTGCAGAGACTCATTGATCCAGGCCAGCATGTCATGTCGACTTAGATTATCACTGGTGACTGACGTTGAGTATACGTTCACTGCCATCTTCGGCTCTCAGGGGAACCGCGTCTACTGCCCGCGCCCGGCTCCGGTTCCATCTTCGTCTCTTTCAAACCGCCAGACTTCATGGGTCATTTTGATCCCTCTCTAGAATATCTTCTAGTAGTCTGTGTAGGGTTGACTTTGTTATCACGAAATTCTTTTTTTTTTTTTTTTTTTTTTGCGGAACCGGGGATTGAACTCAGACCCTTGCGATGAAATTCTTTAATTGTTCTTTGTCATAGGAGTATTTCATTTCTCCATTAAACTTTTTTTTCCCCTGAGGAACGGGGATTGAACTCAGGCCCTTGCACTTGCCAGGGAAGCACTTATTCCACTGAGCCATCTCCCCAGCCCCCAGAAATTATTTCTGATCTGATTTCCTCTATACCTTTCTGCAGTTGTTTCTTTACTTCCAATGCCATTATTTTAGAGATTTCAGGTGTGTGATTTCCAATTTCTTCTATGCTATTGTCTCCTGTATTTGTTCTGGATGGGCTTGGGATCTAAGAATGCATTTTGCTTCTTCTCTTTGTCATTCTGTATAGCACTGTCTTCTGACCTTTGGTGTAAAACTTTGGTAGAGTTATTGCCTTAGCACCAGTTGTGGATCTACCAAGTTCAAAATTGTCCTGGTGGGTGTGGCTTGAGTCTGGCTGCTGTGCCCCACTTCTTCCTGCTGCAGCCCTTGGAGGTGAACCCTTCATGCCACTCTGGCAAGATGTTCTGCTCCTAGGTCAGCTAGGTGCGTCTTGCCTCTAGTCTCTCTGAAGGCAATTCTGCTGCAGGGTTCCATACTGGGCCTGTCTGGCAAGCACAAGGGCCTCTATGTGGGAGGCCATTAACCGGTATCCATTCTATTCCCCTACTGAGTTAAGTTTATGGACCTTCTCAACCCGCCTTTTTTTCCTTAAGTCTCTCTCTATTTTTACATAGGGTCTCACTATGCAGTTCAGACTTGCAGTGATCCTCCTCCTGTCACAGCCTCCCCAGCACTGGGATCACGAGCAGGCACTACCAGGCCCCTTTTCAGGGCCAGCACAGCATATCTGGGTTTCCAGGGCTGCGTGGCATGTGGGACTGGGGATCAAACTCAGGTCCTTGCGCTTGCCATATAGACTCTTAGACTGCAAAGCTATTCCCCCAGCTCTTATGAACTCTTTAAAATAAATTATTTTAGCTATTTTAGGATGGATATAGATACACAACAGAGCCATAGCTATGTTTGCGCTACCTGAGGACACAAGCATAGGAAGGCCAGTTGCACAGAAGGGCAAGCGGCACTCCTGTAAACTGCAGAAGCTACTCTGCAGCCACTGGAGAGCACAGGCCACCGTCCCAGCTGCTCTCTGCAAGGCTCCAAAGCTCTTCTCCAGCTCTTTCTTCTGCAAGATCCAGTAAAAAATGTTTCCTCCACTGCACCTTTTTAGATAGCTCCACCAAAGTTATAAATTTGATCTCTGATAAATCCTATGTTCTCCTACCCAGCCCCCAAGTATTCTACTCACGTTGCCTTAAAACTGTTCTGATGTGTGAAATGGGAGGGAGATAACTTAATCATATTAAGGGGCAGGGGGAATCCTGCCCTAAGCCAAAACACATGAAAATACTGGGCACTGCCCCCTCCGTACTGACTGGACAGGACTCTCACCGTCTCAAATTCTCGATCCTTAATTTCTTTGAAGCCTTCAGCGAGGACATCATCATCAAACCACTGGTGGACGAGGTCATCCCTGGATGTTCTAGTGGTCATTCTACACAGTGCCTCAGAGAGCGCAACCTGCTGGTCATAATCTACACGTAAAAAACATAGCAGACATGGGTAAGTCCAGGTACCATGCAACAGAAAACATGAGTTCAAAGCTAGCACTTGTTCTAAGATTGGCTCTGAATCTTACAAGCAGCAAGATGTACTGCAAAGAAGCTACAACCACTGAAGTATTGCTGAATATTGTCAGGAGAAAGAAATCTAAAGAATAAGTCAGCATAAAACAATTTTTCAAAATACATATTTCTAGGTTTTATGTTTTAAGTTATTAAATATTCATCAAATCAGATCAAATGGTCTTTAAAATATTTCTATCACAAAAGGTATCTATTTACCTTTACAAAGGAAAAAATCCCATTTTCCTTTGTAGAAAAACTCTCACAGCAGAAAAACCAAAACTCCGTGTATCAATATGCTCAAATCTTTATTAATTACTATTGCAAAGTATTAATTATTGAAACTGTCCTATTAATCAGTTTTGAAACTGTCTCATTGCTATTTGTTTTTCAATAAATTTAAAAAGGAGTTATAACTGGATATATCCAACTTGAAGGCATTTATGAAGTGTGATCAAAAACTACTATGAGCATTTAAGTTCAAAAATTACAGTAGAAGACACACATCACGTTACTCTTCCTCATAACACTCCGCCTCTGTTACTGTGCACTTCCTGAAGCAGTTGTGGACATACCCTTTTGTGAGTGTCTTTCTCGGTGTTGCCCTGGCTGCCTCATTGCTCTGGAATGGATTCAAATCACCACTTGTAGGGCCGGCCAAATAGCTCAGCGGATTAAAGCGCCTGCGAGTAGGCACAGGGGCAGAGGCCCGGGGTCGATACCCGGGCCTGTAGTGCCGGCCACGCCCCTAAAGATGAGCTGAGATGGCAATTAAGACTGGGCATAGTGGCACTCACGCCTGTAATCCCAGTTCTTGGAGGCTGTAAACAGGCAGATCACTATGAGCCCATTCTAGCAGTGAGACCCTGAACACCCTGTAGACCCTTCCCTAAAATAAAGAAAAAAATAAATCAAATCACCACTTGTCATTTTGACTCTGAGGGAGAGCCTGAAGCAACACAATGCCATAGCTGCTGAAGAAGCAGATGAGAACACCCATTATGTTCCTATTTGGCAGACACTGCTGTAAATGTTTGGAACCCACTGAGGACATCCGGGCACCGCAGCAGCACAACTAACTAGAGACACTCCCGAGAGAGACCATCCAGAATTGCTTCCGGAAGTGGCAGGATGATGGACAAAGTGCGCTCAAAGCAAGGGGAAGGATGCTGAAGGGCTGAATGGCAATGTGTCTTTTACTGTAATAATTTTTAAAGTCTAATCATCTACCATATTTATTTTACCATGTACATAATATCCTTAA